ATAAAATGTCGCTCCTATCCCATATATCTCGCGACAAACTGTTTTTGAAGTGGATAATGACGAAGATACGTGCAACTGGATTACCAATGTGTGACCTGGTGTTAGAGAGAGAAAACACTTTCATCAAGTCAATCTCCGACAAACTTTCAGTCCGTTTGGTTAGATTTCGATTTCCCTCTAAATCAAAGGCATACATAAAATAGTGGGATAGATGCAGTGGTAATGCAATACCGAGCTTTCCTTTTGTACCAACCAGACGATTTCTTTTAAGTACACCAGACCAAATTCTGGCCTGACTTCTGAGTACTGTTATAATGAAGACGTCCTCATCGTTTCGGACGACAGCCTCCAGTAAATTCACGCTGTGGTTGAGGATGATGGTTGTGGTACTGATTACAATGATGATATATGCACTGCGAGTATGTTACATTAAAACAATAGTTTATACTACTCACAACTTTATCAGAATCAATAAACGACAGTTGTTATTTTTGAGCTCATTACCGGTCGTTGAATGTTGGTTGCAGCATCGGATGGGACTGTCAGTCTTTGAAACGCTCTAAGCGTGCAAAAACGCTTGCCTCATTTTGCCATTTTGCCTCTTGTTTCCTTTGCCTCTGCTCTGGTTGTATGAGACCCACGGATAGCGCTTTTCTGTGGAGACTCCTTAAAAGTACTACAATGTGTGTCCAATTTTTTCTCCAATTCACTGCTGTTCTTCTCAACCCACGCCTATATAAAGCCCTGCATTTGTGCCTGATTGGTTGGCCACGGTTCAATTGCAGTACCTACATCGTATTTAACGCTCTCCCTATCCCGTTGGTGGAGTTTAGGCTACCAAAAACCTTTGCGGCAAGCAAGGATGCTAAGGACAGCCAGGTGGTTGTCTTCGTCATGAATTCTATGTCGGAAAATTTTGCATATATATGCAAAAGGAGTGATGCAATTTCGACAGAAGAAGAAGACGCGATCACTGCGACAAGACATTTATTTTCCTGGCATTTCGAATCCTGTCAAGAACCCTTAATTATTATATGTAACCGTAGGATAGTATGGAACATGCACAGATTGGGGTAATACATGCACAGATTGCGCGGTATTTATACTTCATAATGGTCATGCACATGCATACTATGATTATCAGCTCCTGTAATCACTGCTGGGAGGCGTAATTAGTGCGGTGATGACTTGGCGGTCCGCTTTCGAGTTACTAACTGCCGCGATTTCGTTGTCTGTGTCTGATGCACCCTTATATACATCTAGTCCCAGCATTTTTTCCTGCAAAAACGGCGGTTATAAGATTTTGGACGGTAGGGAAATAGGATAGGCAGAGAAGGACATTTTTAGAAGTGTAAAGTGAGAAACATGTAATCGAAGTTGCTTCCCGCTGCCGCCGGGAGTAAGTTGTTCTGCATGAAAATTGAGGATGTACGCGGCGCTTCGCGCCACAGTCGATACTAATCTAACTCCAGAACGGTAAGTTGGACCTTAGGTAAGTTGAAGTAG